TATATATATATATATATATATCAATTTATCATTTTAGTTATTCTTTTTTAAGTTTTGGATTAATTCAATTATGAATTTATACTTTCAAAGACGTATTTTATATTTTTTTTTAATTTCAAAAAGACTAATATAACATCACATTATTTTAAATTTAGACATCAATTTGAGCCTTTAATCTTAAAGCTCATCATCTTTCTTTTCATTCCCATAGTCACTTTCCTCATTATGATCTCATAGTCACTTTTTGGTTTCTCAAACTTTTTTTAAGGGTAATCATAACTTAACATGCACTTCATAATCTTACAACTCACTTTTCTTTTCTTTTCTTTTTATATTTTTAATTTTTTCATTATATTGCACATATTAAATATGTCACCTTTTTTATCTACTTTAATTTTCTCCTTCACCCCAGTTCATATTAAATAAAGTGCACATTTATAATTATTTTCTATATCTCTTATATACTTACTAAGGTATATCCGTCTAAAGTTTTTGACTCTGGACAATAATGATTGTATATACAAAAGAAATTCTGATGTTTAATTTTGTGGATGCTCAAAGTGTTTAAATATTTGATCACCAAATATAAGGCCATGAGCTAATAAGTTCTTGACATTAAAATTCAAGATCTATATGATATACCTTAAAACTAGTCAAACAAAATTTTCATGCAAAAATATTTTTTCATAATTATTTTTTGTAAGGGGAAATTGGAAAGTAGTAAGTATAGTAATGACTTGTCATCTCTACTACTACAGTTCGTGCAAGCTGATAAGAATTTGCTGGAGTATAGAAAAATTATTAGAACTCAAACTATAGTATGATTTCTAATGCATTTTAAATAGATAAGATGATTATATTTGTAGGTATTACTATTTAGACCACTCTAAAAATTTATTTTCAGGATCCTCCTAAATCCTAAGTTCCACACACTTTCTAACTTACATATCAAATTCATCTAAGTTTAAATTTAATACACGATCCAACCATTTTCCCAAACTCAGCCTAAACTTGAAATAGTGCTCCAACCTCATCGTGCCTCATGATCCTTAATCTCAGAAAAAACTGCATGATCGGGGATCAACCTATCACATTCCTTACTCACATGGCTATCATTGCTTGTAGTGGTCAATCCAGAGCTGTTACTATAATCCGAAACATGTACGCTACCATGGCTACTGCTAAACATGTCTTCATTATCTTCATAATCCCCACCACCCACCACCACTCTATTAACAGCACTTTCATGAAGCTGCAGAACAAACTCGAGCACCCCAACGACGTCATTCATGGAAGGTCGCTGAGTCCCATCCTCATGCAAACAACTCAAGGCAACCTCACCAAATTTTCGCAAACACTCGGGTGCTATCTGGCCCTTCATTGCTGGATCCACAATCTCACCCAGAGAGCCCTTTTCATAGCGATGTATGGCCCAATCAACGAGTGACATCTGTTGCTTCTCCACCATACGTAGCAAAGGCTGCCTCCCAGACAATACCTCCAAGAGTACCACCCCAAACGAGTACACATCAGACTTCTCCGTCAAACGTTGTCGTTTGTAGTACTCAGGGTCTAAATATCCAATACTACCCTTCACCTGAGTGCTCACATGGGTCATTGAAGAACCCGTGGGCCCAATTCTCGATAACCCGAAGTCCGAAACTTTGGCGACCCATTTTTCATCCAATAAGAAGTTGGTGCTCTTGACGTCGCGGTGAATGATCATGTGCTTCGCACCTGTATGAAGATAATGCAGTCCTCTTGCAGCACCTATGCAGATCTGAAGCCTTTGCTTCCACGATAGAGAAGGGTTATCGGTGTCGTAGAGATGGTCACGGAGGGTTCCGCGAGCCATGAAATCGTAGACGAGTATCATCTCGTTGCTCTCGTAACAGTAACCGATGAGGGAAACCAGATGGAGATGACGAAGTTGAGACAGCATTTCGATCTCGTTCATGAACTCGCGCGCACCTTGCTGAGAACCCGGTTTGAGCCTCTTGATTGCGACACGTGTCGCACCGTCGTCGATGTAGCCTTTGTACACGTTCCCGAAGCCTCCCGCGCCGACGACGAAGAGCTCGTCGAAGTTGTTGGTGGCGGCTCTGATTTCCGCGATCGAGAAGTGGCGGCAGAGGTTGGTTGGTAGCGATGATTTGCCACGGCCTTCTTTTTTGCTGGAACCCTTCCAGCGTTTTATGAGGAAGAAAGCGACAATAAAGGAGAGCAAAACGACGCCAGAAACTGCACCAGCGACGGCGGCAAGGGTATTTGTGGCACCGCCGTTTTTCTTTTTTGAGCTTTGAAGGGGACCCTTGGGGGTTTGTGGACGAGGGTCTGGGTTGGGTCCCGCGAGATTACCCGTTGTGTCGTTGATCTTGAAGAGTTCAATTCCGTTTAGAAATGCGTCCTTGATCAAGCTGTAAGGTTGAGGATGCATTTTGAGTGAAAGATATGTCTTTCCCTGATTCCGTGGGATGAGAAGTACGTAGTCTCTAACCACCGGTACACCCTTCTGTTTATCACTCCAAGAGAGAACGTCTGCCATGTCTTCAACCAAGTGATCCTGGATGAAGATGTAGAAGATTAGGTCACCAGGATTGTGCACCTTCGGGTTAAGCTCGCAGAAGTGTAACCTTAGCAAGTAGAAGAAGCCGTAATCAACAGGAAGCTGCCACGTGAGGTTGAAGCCCGTGTTGATAGAGCCATTCGTTCCCATACTCCTTACGGATCGGTACACTAGGTCTGGTGCTGTGTAGTTAGGAGTCTCAGTGAAGCTCAGCTTAGTTCTCTGCTCATAGTCAACAGATAGTACACTTTGACTAGTTACATATTGGTCATCGGCATCCCAGGTTCTGAGCATACCCGTGTCATCTATAGGGGAGGTATCTTTCCCTCCAACGTTTAACCGGTACATAGTCTCTAGAGCCGAATGGTTTTCAATAGTATATGTTGATCCTCCAACAAGTTGCGGCAATAATCCTGGGTTGTCGACGTTGGAATTGGTATAGTAGAGATAAGGGGGCATGGAAACAATCTCGATTCCGTTGATGAAAGCGTAAGAATCTGTGGTGCTTGGGATGAAGGTTATGTTGAGGTTCTGATGAGCATCTTGGAGGTTGATGCAATACTCTCTGAACAAGATGTCCTGAGGGTCGTCATCAGCGTCAGCGTTGAGGGAAGCGTTGAAATGTTGAAGGAGGGTGTGTTGGTTTACTTTGACCGAGAAATAGGCTTTGGGGCGATCAAAGTTAAGGTAGGAAGTTGAGTAGAAGAAGAGGCGAAGGAAGTTTGGACCTGGGGTGACAGGGAATGAGTAAGTGAATTGGGAGTGAGAGAGACGAGCTGAAGTGTAAGGAGCCTGTTGTGTAGATGGTGTGAGTGGAGTAGCAGCTACTGAGTCGTTGCTTTGTGAGAGGAATTTGATGTCTCCAATCCAATTCCGACCATCGAGCGTGGACAGGTTGGTGGAGGAGCCACAGTTGATGCTGAAAAGGTCAAGGGGACTATAAATAGCATCTTCTGCTATGGAAAGGTAAGGGTGGCTTAACAATAACAAGAGAAAGAGGATGGTTCCTAAAGCTATTCGTGTGAGAGTTGTGTCCATGGATAAGCTGTAAGTAATCGAATCAGCACTCAGAGGGCTCAAACACGGTAAATCAACCAATGAATATACTTGATTATCAAGACTTGTGTTACTGCATAGTGCAGGGTGATTGGTGGTAACATGTGTCTTTTTTTTTTCTAAGCAAGCGGGAGATTTTAAAGTCTAAGTTTGCTTTTGATTTTGTTTGTTTTGGACACAAGCCAATGTACGAATTATTATAATTTCAGCCACCGGCAAAAGAATAATGTTTTCAAGACAACTATCTAAATATAGAAATTAAAAGAATAAAGTGATACAAAAGAAAAAGTTAGATATCATGCTTTATATATTATTGTGGCCAATATATCTTGAGTGATTTTTGCTTAGGTTGTATTATTTAAACATAAAACTTTTAACATTGAAATCAAATTGTATATAATTATTTTTATTTGTTTGTATATGTAAAATTTTAAAATATATCTTATATAAAGTTGATCGTTTGTAGACATTTCTAAAATATATATCTTAAAGTTGAAGGAGTCAACTTTTTTATTGCGCCATTTAGATGTACAAGAAACTTCTTCCTTTTTATTTTATTATTATTAAGATGATGAAAGCACCACATTATTTTATATATGAAGTTGATCGGAAAAAAAATGTAGAAGAACCCTTGTTTTGGAGTGTATCAGAATCATTAAGTCATACAATGGTGGGAAGAGATAAATTATATATAAAAAGAAAAAGGAAGAAAAAAAGGTAGAGAGAGAAATTAACAGATATGATACGACTGTATTAGATTTGTGTGCAAATTAAAAATTTTGTGATGTTCAAATAATAGAAAGAATATAGTTAATAAAACGTTAGAATTTATCACATTGTGTATTGAAAATAATTAAAAAGTGATAAATAAAATTAATTAGACAAATAAGCTAACTAACCGGTAATTAGCTTGAGTTGAGTTGTATTGTATTTTCTGTTATTTTTTTTGTCTCTTTTTTAACTGGGCTAAGATTTGTTTTTAAAGCCCGAAATCTAGCGTGCAGTCCTGTCCTTCTGTGTTAGGTAAATCCAATGTCTAAAGCCCAAATAACATGGTATGAATTGATCCAAACAAAAATCCCACTAGTGGTAATGTGAGCTAGCCGTACTTGACGTTCCCCTGTACAAATCGCAAGTGTATTTTTCAGTAAACATAATTTCAAGAATTATAATATATTGTTGAATTCAAGGACTAATGTGATACTAATTTTAGAGCCAAAGTAAGCATTGGTTACCAAAATGATATAGCTAAATTAATTGAAGTATTGAACACCATGCTTGAGAGTTATTGTAATTTTTAATACTGAATTCGATTCCTACCGGAAAAAAAAAATTGTTTACCTGTTGTTCTGGCCAAAGGGTGGACTAGGGTTTTTTCTAGATCGTGCCTTAGAGCCAGAGCATTCAAAAGTGTAATCTGCCCCTTTAGCTCTAGGGTTTTGAGTATTATAGTTTGTAGTTCATGGGCCATCTGGGCCCTGAGAATTTGGGGATTTTGTAACCGTTATTATACCAAAGATATTTGACAGTCGAGGGGGTAGCGAGTCGGATGCTGACCGTTAAGGTCTATCCATAGGGTATAGTCGGTCGTTAGCCGAGTAATCTATGGTGTATGAGGGATATCGGGAATACGCCGACCTATGCTATAAGTGGGTACACAGTCGGGCGTCGGCCGAGTGCATATAGAAAGGGAGTTGTTCGGTCGGGGTGTGGTCGACGTATCACGTCGGCCGAGTGCATATAGAAAGGGAGTTGTTCGGTCGGGGTGTGGTCGACGTATCACAAACCGAGACGGAGGGTGTCGGGCGTAGACCGAGACATTACACTTGCCTTCCAGCCTTGAGCCTACGGGGCAAAAAGGCTAAAGCGACTGCCTTGTTTAGACCTCTTCGGCCCTAGGCCAAAAATACGTATTGGGCGTAAACCGAGACATTACACTTGCCTTCCAGCCTTGAGCCTACGAGGCAAAAAGGCTAGAGTGACTGCCCCTTTTAGACCTCTTCGGCCATAGGCCGAGAATACGTATCGGTCATAGATCGAGGGGCACGTCATCGAGTAGGACTGTGGTTCCCTAGAATCTGAAAAGTCGTGTCTCTTCACCTTACTTGAGAAGGGACATCTATTTATTGCGAAGTCGGCGTCGCATGGGTGTAAATGATGATTATGCCACGTGGCAGTGCCTGTTACTTTAGTTAATGGTGTGGGCCCCCTTTGTCCCTTGGGTTAAGGGTTGCAGTGTTTCACGCGCGCTGCGACCCTTGGGCCTCCCCTTCACACGCACTGCGACCCTTGGGCCTCCCTTTCACGCGCGGCCTTTGGCCTCTTATAAATAGGGTGGCTTTCACTTCTTATTACCTCTTTTCGTTTCCTTCTTCTTGCCTTTTCTTCTCCAGTGGCCTCTACTACGTCGCTTCGAGCTACGGTGGTGCACGGCGGTTCACAGCGTTCCGATAGCTTCTTGTAGGGTGGGGAAGAGTTGTTGTGTGGCTTTAGGTACACCCATCTACCCTTTCTGTTTATAGAGAAACTTCGGTTTCTTCCTAAGTTAGAAAGGTTAGGAATATTTGCTCCAATGGAAGCTTTAAATTATGAGGGGATGTATGATTGGGTAAAGGACGATGTTTTACGTTGTGAATCTTGTATGAATTCATGGGCCGTAGTGGATAGCTTTTGTAGCGAACACGTAGTTTGTGAGGGGGGGAGAGTGTGATTGTTTGTGAGCCCTGTATCGATAGGGAGCTCGTGTGTGTCCGGGGGACCCCCTCCGAGAGGTTCACCTTTTGTTACACTACTTTAATTTCAAAGATTAGGGTGCGGTGGCCCCTTTCTGAGTGTGAAAAGGGGGTGCTCCATGTAACATCTCAGTTTTCAACATGATTATTACTATTA